TCCCTTTTTCTTTGATCTCTTGATTTCCTTCCCATTCGAGAAAAATCGCTCTCCCTATTTCCAATTATCTACCTTTTATTTTGCTCTTTATGAACAATTTTGGTTTTTCATGTAAGAGAAGCCATGCAGTGTTTAAGCTTTGTGTCTGATTCATTTCACCTAAGATTCTGGTTTCAAGGTGCATCTGTTTTCCCACAGATGACTCAAGCCTACCGTTACAGCATCATACTCCACCCTCTGTAAATACTACATATTCTTTATTCATTCATCTGTTGATGGACACGTAGGCCGCTTCCAAGGTTTAGCCATTGTGAGTTGCGCTGTTATACATACGGGTATGCACTCTGGAAGAGTTGGGTCAAATGGGGCTTCTAGGTTTTCTCTTTGAAGAATCTGCATACTGATTTCCATAGTGTTGCTATCTAGTTTACATTCCTGCCAACAGTGTAGCAGGGTTCTTTTCCTCCTGTAGCCTCACTAGTATTTTTAATTTGATTTCTTGACAATGGCTGTTTTTTTCCAGGTTAAGATGGAATTTCAGTTTTAATTTAACTTTCATTTCTGTAATGGCTAGTGATGTTGAACATTTCTTCGTGTATTTGCTTTTAAGTCTGTTATGTTTTTAGTCATATCATCTTGGAGTTCCTGGAAAACTTTATAGGTCTGGTTTGTTTGTTTATTTTTTCACTCTGTATAAATCAGCCATTAGGCTTTTATTTTTTATTTTTAAATTTTTTCCATGAAGTTGTAGCAATTTATTTTAAATAACCTACAGTTGATAAAAAGGGAATGTATGATAAAAATAGAAAATACTTGAGGAAAGATGTGGGAAACGGACTCTGCACACACTAAACTCCCACTGCCTCCAAAACGAATGATCACAGCCAAAAATGTTCTCACATTAAAATTCTGCTTTTTATGATTTTTTTCTCATCTTTCACAGAATTACAAAAGAAAAAAAAAAAACCTAAAATCTTGATTATTTTTCCTCTGTTGGGCTAAATACTCATTTTCCTCTAAATGTATTGACCTGTAGAACTTTTCATACAATAAAATTTTTCAAGTGAAGGACTGAGATCTAAAAAGAAAAAGACGGGTGGATATCTTAAAGGGTACAGAGAGTGCTCCGAACAAAGGATGAGGGGAAAATGGTATTTTATTTCCTCCCCATCAATATCCATTGGATCGCTTTGGAGTGTTTAAAAGAATTTTGTTGCCTTCTTTTCTCATATTTCTAGAGTGCTCTCTCTCTCTCTCTCTCTCTCTCTCTCTCTCTCTCTCTCTCTCTCTCCTTTCCTCTCGTGTGTGCGCATGCGCGCATGTACGCTGAGGGTTGAAATTCAACTAGCGTGGATGAAGTTTACTATTAGTGTGGACATCTCTTGTTAGTGATTTTGACTTCAGCTGCATTTTGGTATTTCTCTGCCTCTTTCACCTACTCAACTTAATAGCATTGGATTCCCTCACTGTGTTGTTGCAAGGAAAGGTTCCCTGCCGGTTATACCAATGCCAATAGATCAAATCATATATCAGTCATGTGCAGCAAAACTTGCTTTAGCAATGTCCCCTGTAGGCTGTACTGTACTTCTATGGGTGGGGGTGGAAAAGGGAAGAGAGAAAGGAGAGAGCTAAATCAGTGAGAAGGAGAGAAAAGGATCCAGAGGTGAACTGAAATCTGCCTGTGCTGGAATTATTTTTATAGCTGGAGTAGAGCACTAGCAGAGAGGGCCTTCGAGAAAACATTTAGGGGAGTCTGAGAAAGGGCACAGAGGGAGGGCAGTACACAGTGACTGGGGACTGAGGGAGGCCCAGAGAATGCAGAACCTGCTCATATGTTTGAGCGTTAGTTCAGTTTTAGAATCTCTGCACACAATCCTGGTGGTGCTACCCTGACGTGCCCATGTGCCCACGAAAGGTACTATGGTGTTTAGATTAAAGCGCTAGTTAATTCTCACTTTCTTTTGCATATATAAGGACATTTCCAATATCTAGATGGGATATTTTATCCATATATATATTAGATGAAAGGAAAAACAGAGCAAAGATAATGGGAAAAGAAAGAGAAAAAACAGAGACATAGAGGAAATGAAAAAGAAACCACAACCAAACCAAAACAAATCCCCGCACAGCTGAACCAGAATTGAAGCATCCTCACTGTCCTGCTTATAGAGCAGTCTGGGTTCCACCAAGCTCTGAAAACACACAGTTCATTTGGCCAAAGAATGAGAAAGAACTGAGGTGCAAGGAGAAATTTAAATTAGTATGGGAGAGCCACAGTGTTAGGAGGGGACCGAGGCACCGAAGAAAGTGTCACCTCTTCTAGCATCCGTGTGACACATACCTGCCCAAGCTGAGCAGCGATGGCTGAGGAACCTGCCATTTCTGCCCATTTTAAGGTGGCTTGCCAAGAATTTTTCAGGGAAATAGCATCTGAAAAATTATGTAAGAATTGATGCTTATTCTAAAAGATATTGGGAAATGGAAGGGAATGTATAAGGATCAGGTATAATTCTACCATCCTAGCCAGTGTTCCGAACCAGCGGGTCATTCAACGAAGGTCACCTGGGGGAGAAGCAGGGAATTGAAGAGGGGACAAAGGACAGGAGACGCAAAGAATGGAGACAAGACAGGATTTTGATCAAGTCTCATTTATTTAGGGGAGGTGCTGCGTATATATAGTGGAGGCATAGAGAAATGACGTCGGCGGGTAAAAGGCGCGAGTAACCAGGCAACCGGGCTATGACAGGAAGTCCCACCTCCAGGGCATAGCAGGAGACTTATGGGAAATAGGCGGGGTAAGAACTAGGAGCCTAGCTCATTGGAGGGAGGGGAGGAGGAACCTGGAAACCCACCTGCAATAGGATTGGAGGCCTGGAGTTATTGTGCCTCCCACAAGCCAGTGTTGTTATTTATTTATTTTAGAAATTATCTCTCTCTGCTCTTTCTCTGTCCTTCTTCCCTTCAATCAGTGTTAAGAGTCAGAGTGCATATGTAATTATGCATTCTTGATTTTTCTTAGCCTAACATTCTGTTTCCCTATGGCAGAAAAAATTCTTTGATAGTGTCATTTGATGAGCACAACGTAACTCATTTAGCTGTTTTCTTAAAGGTGAGCAGATAATTGCTTCTGCTTTTTTTCCTGTATTAAGTAAATCCCTTGTTCATACACAAGGGCCCCTACTTGTACTGTACACTTCCAAGTGCTCCATGAATGAACCCTTTAATCCTCAAAAGAGCAGGAGGAGGTCAGTGTGTACTTATATCCTTACTTTGCAGATGAGGAAATCACAGAGGTTAAGAAGCTTGGACACGCAATGTCACATGAAGCAGCAGAGTTTCCCCAACACTTTCTCTGCTTTGGGAAATCTGGGTCCAAACATATAAACATCAAGACTGTAGACATACACTAGGAAACTATTTCAGGAAAACGTGTGACTCTTCTTGCATTCCCTGCCACTAAGGTTTTGACTTAGCAAGTATTACAGCTTCTACCTAGACATTCCCACAAAGCCTCATGTACTCATGGGTGGGGCTTTGGGGCAGCAACTGGATCATGGGTGTGTGACACTGGATCAGTCCACTGATTGGCTTAGCATAGTTCTGGGTGTGGGTGCACCAACCAATAGGCTTGTAGTCAGGATAGAATAAAAAGGGAAAGGAAGAAGGAAGGCTCCTGTCTCCTGCTCGTGCCTCTTTCTCCTCTGCCATGTCGCCCTGCCTTGGAAGCAACTATAGACAGAAACCTTCATACACTGTGAGCTAAAGTAAACCAACCATTCTTCCTTTAACTTGTTGGTGCTAGGTATTTTGTCCCACAATGAAAAAGCAATGAAGATAGCAAGTGACCATTGACTGTTTTCTTGAGGTTTTTGTGTGAGACCAACTAAATACTTGGAACATGCGATCACTAAGTTCCATCTCTGCATCTTTATGCAGAAAGAAAAGCTACTATGACAGATAGCTCTAGATTTATGCCTGTGTTGTTTTGGACAGTTGGCTTTGTGTGTGTGTGTGTGTGTGTGTGTGTGGATCCGGGGATTGAACTCGGGCCCTTGCGCTTGCCAGAGAAGCGCTTATTCTACTGAGCCATCTCCCCTCCCTGCTTTGGACAGTTGGTAAACTGGTTTTCAGAGCTTTGCTGTGGGCTCTGCCTTTATACTGTTAAGCATTTACCTGCACTGGCATCCCTTCGTCTCATAATTGAGTCGTGCAGCAAAATACCATGAGGCTTACAATGGCCATTGCTGATCCTTTGGCAGAGAGAAAACGGGTTATGTTTGAGTGAAACAAAAAGCAAATGTTCTTCCCTATCCTCTGGCTCTTTAATTTATAATTTCTTTGTTTCTACCTCTTTATAAAACACAGATTGTTAAGAAGGAGGCTTCCAAGACAGAGGCAACTTGTTTATTTCTACAAAGAATAGCTTTTCTGAGAATTCTTTCAATCATGTGGTCAAACCAGGCCACAGTACAAGTGTGCTCCTATCTGCAGACTCCTATATCTCCATACCTAACAGTCCTGCTGCCCAGAGGCCAAGAATACTGTTTACAAAATGAGTTCACTGGACAGACATAATCCCTTAGAGGGAAGGCAGCTTCTGCTCCGTAAGGCTTATCAGAAGCTTTCCGGCATGAGGCCTGGCAAAGAATCATGAAGACGTGAAATATTCAGGGTACATTCTGCAAACTGGGCCAGGAGTGGGGAAGGATGCTGAGGTTGTATCATATAACTACTGGGCCACTTGAGGTGGCAGTGTGAATTTGTAGGTAAACACAGAGCTACAGGGCAGTGGGGGAAAATCACCTGGGACAGTCTTTGTTTTCCTTATTATTTATCCCAAGCTGGAAAGTGCATATTCATCTATAGCTATACAGACAAAGCAAAATAAGCAAGAAAAAGCAAAAGCCATGCTGGAATCCAATGTGAGGGTTTCACAATCCCCCCCCCCCATGGGAATGTTCTGCTTTGACATAACAAGGAATCTGTTTATGTTTGAAAAGGATCGGCTGTGGACTCTGCTTCTGGAGCAAACAGACTAGGATTTAGTAAATCATCTAAAAAAGATTAACTCCTAGACACCAGGTAAGAAAACACACCCTCCCCTAGCGCGAGTTCTGCTGATCATACTAAACCTTCAAGAGAAAGGATCCATTGCAAGCAAAGCTTGCACTAGAATAACAAAATAGATGCTCTTAAACCGCAGTGGTAAGCTGGACATGGTGGTCACAACTGTAACCCCAGCTCTTTAGGAGTCTGAGGCAGGAGCAATGTCTAGCCAAGCCAGGTTTGAGTGAGTTAGCAATTTAGCAAGAGCCTGTACTGAACAGAAAGAAGAAAAGAAAGGAATAGATAGAACACAGTTCAAAGGCCCCAAGCTCAACTTCCAGTACCACAAAAGAAAAAACAAACAAACAAACAAAAGTAATTTTGTTAAACTTACATTTTGAACAGGTGCTTAGTTTTTGATTTGTAATAGAAAAAGGGAATGATTCCTCAACTGTGAAGGCCCTACCTGGTCCTCTTTTCCACCTGCCACCTCGTCTGAGACTGGAAACTGTTGGAAAGCAAGTGCTGGTATCTCTAAGGAGACCTGATTTCTAACGTTCCCAGTGCAGAGCCGGTACAGTTCTGAAGCAGCAGCTTTTCTTCCACTTTCAGCCGGCTCCCTGAAGTCCTGCAGCTGGGCAGCCCTGCCAGGAATGCCACCAAGCAGAGCAGAAGTGTCCGTCGTTCCAGCCACCACTCCGACCGTCAGTTTTCCTCTTTATTCAAACCAAATTATTAAATACATCAACCTTTTATTTGTGCTGTCTGATTTAAATCTTTAGGCCAAGTGTTTTTAAAATTGGACATTTCAGGGCTGGCAAGGTAGCTCAGTGGACTAAGCTCCTGCTTAGGGAAGCGCAGGGTCCGGGGTTCGATCTCCTGCACCACATGCTGTGCTGGCCCACTCGTGGGAGCACTGAGCTGGCCAATGAGACTGGGGGTGGTGGTGGACACCCGTAATCCCAGTGCCAGGGAGGCTGAAAACAGGGGGATCATTGTAAGTCCAAGCTGTGTAGTTAGACCCTATACCAAATATATAACAACATAAATTAAATAAAGAAATAAAAAAATTGGACATTTCATAGGCACTTAAGGGTAGTGTTACTTTAATATTTGAAACTTTTTGTGAAATATTCATTGGTGTACTAGTATCATTTACTTAGGAGCATTGGATTTTAACCAGCTTTAGTCTATATAAAATAATCTATGCAACAAAGGGGACAAAAATATACATTGGAGGAAAGACAGTCTTTTTAATAAATGGTGCTGAGAAAATTAGATATCCACATGCAGAAAACTAAGTTTAGACCCATATATCTCACCATGAACTAAACTAAAATGGACCCCCCAAAAAATATTAAAACATACAATCTGCTGAAAAAAACTAGGCGAAACTCATATATATATATATATATATATATATATATATATATATGATACAGGGTCTCACTATGCAGATCGGACTCATAATGATCCTCCTGTCTTCAGCCTCCACAGTGTGGGGATTATAGGCATGCAACCCCACACCTGGTCCCATTGGCCAGCTCAGTGCACCAGGGCCAGGTCCTGTGCAGCCTGTGGTGCCAGGGATTGAACCCCAGCTCCTGAGCTTGCATAAGCAGGTGCTTAGTCCACTGAGCTATCTCACCAGCCCTTGGCAAAATTCTTGAAGATATATATTGATGAAGGCAGGGACTTTCTGAACAGAACCCTAAATGGCCCAAGAAGTAGTACTAAAACTCAACAAATGGTATCATATCAAATTCAAAAGCTTACATGCAACAAAAGAAACACCCCTCTCCCGAAAAAAGCCAGCCCACAGAAGGGAAAAAGGTTTTGCAGCTATTCCTCAAGCATGGGACTAACATGTAGAATATATAAAGAACTCAAAAAGTTAGACACCCCAAAATAAAAGACCCAATAAAGAAATGGGCAACTGAAATGAACAGAATATAGAAGAATATAATGCCAATAAATACATGAAAAAATGTTCAATATCACTGTTCATAAGAGAAATGCAAATTAAAACTACATTTTTTTTTCTGTATTTAATGGAAGTGTCTACAGGGTGTTCACGGTCTCACTACTAGATCAGACTCATAGTGATCCACCTGTTTACAGCCTCCCAAGAACTAGGATTACAGGCGTGTGCCACATGCCCAGTCTCAGTGGCTGTCTCAGCGTGCCCCAGGGGCGGAGCCAGCATGGCAGGCTGGGGGATTGAACTCCGGGCCCCTGTGCCTGTTTACAGGCACTTTAATCCACTGAGCTATTTGGCCAGCCCTATAAAACTACATTGTGGGGCCGGGGAGATGGCTCAGTGGAATAAGTGCTTGCCTGGCAAGCACAGGGGCCTGAGTTCAATCCCTGGTTCTGAAAAAAAAAAAAAAGAAAAAAAACTACATTGAGATACCATCTTAGGGGCCGGGGAGATGGCTCAGTGGAGATACCATCTTATCCCAGTGAATATGAATAGTATAAAAAACCAAAACTATCAAATAACAAATGCTGGTGAGAATGTGGGAAAAAATAAACTCCTACTCTGGTATAACCACTGTGGAAATCAGTGTAAAGATTCCTCAAAAACTGAAAACAAATTCCCTGTGACCCAGCTAACCCCCTCCGAGGTATCTTCCCAAATGAGTTGAAAAAATCATCATATTACAGGATACACGCACACCCATGTTTAGAGCAATACAATTTACAGTAGTTAGATCTTGGAAGCAACGTATATGCCATCAGCAAATGAACAGATAAAAATGTATCTATACAGCATGGAGTATACTCTGCCACAAAGGAAGATAAAGTTGAAGGATTCATAGGCAAATGGATGCAACTCGAGACCAAAACATTAAGTGAAATAAATCAGACACAAAAGCTGAACTATGACATAGTTTCTCTTATATGAAAACCCAGAGTAAAAATAGCAAAATGAAAGGTAAGAGGTGGTAGGGAGATAACAGGAGGAGCGCAGAGGGAAGGCAGGGATAAAGGATGGAGAAAGGGAATTGGGATCCTTTACGTATGTACACCAACTCCACACTAAGGAATGTCGTAAACATTATGTACTGTAAACATGTACTAAAAAAAAAAAAAAAAGATGGGGGAGGGGGGAGGAGGAGTAAGGGAGGGAAAAGGGAGCAAAAAGGAATTAAAATATCTTCTCTACACATTATGGTTTATATGTAGATCTCCCCCAGAACCTAATGTGCTCGTAGTTGGGCTTGTCAGAGGCGGCTGGATTGAGGGTATATAAAAATGGATTAAGGCATGTGGGATAACAACCTGAGACCACGGACTGGTTGGCATAGTTCCTGGGTGTGGACGGTGGGAAGGCCCGCCCTGAGAGTGGCTGGCACCATCCAATAGGCTTACGGCCTGAAAGGATTACAAGGGAAAGGGAGGCTTGCTGCCTCGCTGCTTTCCACCTGCTCTGCCACACTCCTGTACTGTCCTGCAACTGCCTTGCAGCCAGCTGACTCTGGGCTGCAATTTCTACAAACTGTGAGCTAAAATGTACTTCTCTTTTAACTTACAAGTGTCATGGATTTTGTTTCAGCAACAAGGAAATAACTAAGACAATACATGTACCAGCTTCCCATGAGGAATGTACACATTATATACTATACATATGTATCAATAAACTAAAATATTTTAAATTATATTCTTAATATATATATTAATTTGTTTCATTTATACTAGCTTTTCTTAGAGTTTTGTTTTGTTTTAGAACTGGGGATTGAACTCAGACCCTTGCACTTGCCAGGGAAGTGCTTATTCCACTGAGCCATCTCCCCAGCCCTTCTTAGTTTGTTGAAGAGAAAGATTTGTGCTTTTGTTTCTTCTTTGTAAGAATAAGATTTTTTTATTTATGCCTTGTACTCTTAACATTGTGGCCATTCTTGTAAGATTATAACTCATAGTGTATTAACTACTGTGACTCCCTCTTATGCCATGAAATTATTTTATTTTTTCATAGAATGCCTTCTCCATTTTAGTAACATTACTAGCATTACAGGAAAACAAGAAGCTGTGAAATCTCAGCTTTGATATTTGTACCCAATAACTATTAAGCCATTATTAGTAACCATACCTCTTTTCAGTGTTCCCCTACATAGAATTGTCTCACAAAGAGGCATTACACAGGTCCTATATTCTGGAGGGGGAAACCTGAAGTGGAGGGAGGAAGCTTACAGAAATCTCTCACCCTGGGGAAGAATGAGCAGAGGGCCTCAATCATTTACCTATCGTGGCCAAAACAGCAGCCACCTGTTCATTCCTTCACCATTGGCATGTACCAGTGATGGCGAACCTTCTAGAGCTTTTGGTGATCACAAACAGACCGCCGTGGCCCATGTGCCATAGGTTCGCCCACACAGATGTGCACAGCTGTTAGGAGGTGGTGAGTCAGTTCATCCTTGTCCCCATCCTCTGAAAGGTGAATGAACTTTCTGTAGTCATTTATACAGCGTACAATTTTTAGTCCTGCATCTTTTTCTTCTATCTTTCACATAATTTTATTTTCTCCCTTTAACCATAATAAAATGACATCCAAACTTTGTCTTAACTGGTGGGTCTATAAACACAGGCTTATCGATTCTACTCACAGGCAAGGCAAATGCTGCTTCCTGAAATGGTCCTACCATGGAGCCTCTGGTCATCCAACCCAAGTCACCTCCTTGCCTGGCTTTGTCTCCACTACACTGTGTGGCCAATTCACTGAGTCTCATCCTGGACTTTAACTTTTCCATGGCTTCCATAATTTTGCTGTGTTTTTCACATAGAATGTGTAGGATCTTTACTGCATTTCTACCACCTTTGGGGGCCTGAGCCTTCCTGTCAGCACTATCACTCCCAGAGGCTTCTCTCCCTTTTCCCCCCTTTTCCAGAACCATTTTTTCCTTCAGAATTCCCTGAATCTTTTTCTTACTCAGAAACTGTAACTGGGAAAATGAGGCCATATTGCCTGTCTAAATTTCAGTGAGAGAATCACAGGCTGAAATCCAGGCTGAATTCATCTGAAATCCTTGTGACCTGTATCTTAGGGGCCAGATGCCATTGTTTGATGTGCAGGAAAGTCAGGTCTGTGTTTTGGAATTGACCAAAGACTGTCCTAAGCTTTTTACCAAGATGGCACTGAAGGTGAAGAAGGAAGCCCCCGCCTCTCCCAAAGCTGAAGCCAAAGCAAAAGCTTTGAGGGCCAAGAAGGCAGTGCTGAAAGGCATCCACAGCCACAAGAAGATCTGAATGTCGCCCACCTTCCCCCGTTCCAAGACACTGTGGCTAAGAGGCAGCACAATTATCCTCGGAAGAGCTCCCAGGAAAAACAAGCTTGACCACTATGCCATCAAGTTCCCCCTGACCACAGAGTCAGCCATGAAAAAGATCGAGGACAACACCACACTCGTGTTCACTGTGGGTATCAAAACCAATAAGCACCATATCAAACAAGCTGTAAAGAACTCTATGACATCGATGTTGCCGAGGTCAATACCCTAGTCAGGCCTGATGGGGAGAAGATGGCATCTGTTCCACTGGCTCCCGGTTATGATGCATTGGATGTTACCAACAAAACTGGGATCATCTAAACTGAGTCCAGCTGGCTAATTCCAAATACATACCTTTTTCCCCATTTAAAAAAAAAAAAAAAAAGGACTGTCTTAAGCGATGCAGGAGTCCGTGTGTATGGGAGACCAGGACCTGACCCTGGGAGGGACTCTTCTGCCCCAGTGGAGGGCAGCTGAGAACCAGGGTGGACCCTCGAGCAGTGCCTCCTTCCAGGGAGCTACACTATCTCACGCAGTCTCATTTCCTCCCTACATGGCAGTGGAGGAAGCTGAAGACTCAGGTCTGTCTGACAGGCGGATCCCGTAGTTGAAGCTTCACGGAATCAACTCCTCGCGCTTCAGCTCGTCCCTGTGTGGCTGCCCGCGCAGCCTTGGTTCCGCAGTAGGTAGGAGGTAGCCACAGGATTCCTGGATGAGCAAACGAACTCAAGGCTTTTCTCTACCCACCCTCACCCTAGAGTGAAAAACAAGCCAGCCCTGTCAGACTGAAGCCACCAGAGTACTTTTCAAAGAACTTCCAATAATGAATAACTCATTTCTAGTTTGTACTGTTAATTAAAAGTAAATATTGTGTACAACTGGATCATGGTGGCCAAGAATAGACAGAATTCGGACCTATGTACATCAGAAATATGTTCTGTCATATTATAGGCCTCAGAATGCTATGCATTAGCTTTAGAATTAAGGGCTTAGTATTTTGAATGTAACTGAGGCATATAAGCTTTAAGCCATAAAGTGGTTGCACTCAAAAAGCAGTTTCTAGGTCACACTAGTTTTTGTGGGGACAGTAATGGCCAGGAGGGGGCATGAGGGAGCCGGGAACGTTTTTTTTTTTTTCTAATTTAGGAGTGTAGCTAATTGTCAACAGCCAATAGCTACAGGAAAAACCAATCAAGCCAGGCTGCAAGATATGTAAAGTTTATTATATGTAAATATTTGTTTATGGGGAGAAAGGCTCTAAAAACAAAAGACAAAGACCGTAAAAAGGTTTTACATTTTTAAAAACTCATTAACAAGATACCAATTTCAAGAGATAGATTACACAGTTAACATTGCAAATTCTCTTTGAAAAAGCTAATGACAACTGAATTACAAATATATCTATTAGCAATTAAAACAATACTTAGGAATTTAAGCAGCTTGAGTAGTTAAGCTAGGCAAAGAAAATTCTTTATATATATATTTAATTCCAGTAATATCTCTTAAATTCCTGTTCAAAAATATAATCAGAATTATAGTCAGCAAAACGTCTTTGACTGACGCCTGGATTATTTTACCACTTTACCTGGTTACACAGTG